TCAGACTAGAAGTTAGTAACTTCAAACACTGATGCCACGTTTTAGTTTGGCCGACCCTAACTTTCTTCCAACCATTCCCAACACTACTCGGCACCGCACATCGTGGTAATTGGTGTTCCGGCATTCGTAACACGTGGACCAACCATCTCATTCGATGAAGATTTAATATCTCATCAATTGATTACTTTTTATTCACTAATTATTAATATATATATTCTCAGAATAAGATACATACACAATTAGTTTGTTACGATCTTTTTCAGCACTTGCTATTGTAAACTTCGCTCACAGTCTAGGGCTTAGAAAATAATTGAATTTTATTGAAAATTCATATGCATAATTGATAAAAAATAGTCTCTAAAATATTACGAAATTATATCTCATATTTGTACTTCAATGAAAAGTTACTTCATATGAGTTTTGAACTGTAGTAGTTTAGCGCTGTCGTAATGAGCTAATCTAATGTAATATTACTAAAAGTATACATAAAATGCTCTAACCAATGGTCAAGATCCATTTAATACTATGTATCCTAGTATTAAATATCTATAGTTACCAAGTTTATAACCATTATATAAATGAATTGTAAAAATTGTAATCTATTAGAATTGATAATTGACAAATTCGAAACTATTTGAAGGTTATTTATACCACTAGCTTCATCTAAATAACCACTGAAAACTAGGAGACATTGAAGAATTGCACTGTTCTAGTATGGAATACCTTATGAGTGTGTGTTCATGATTACGTCAATAACTGAACCTGGGACCTGAAAGCATTGTAGTAAGTGTATCAGGTTTAGACTGTTATACTGGTAGCCAGTGATTTAAAGTGAATAATTTCTCTCACTAATCCTAATTAAGAAATAGTGACCTCAATTATCTACTCAATACTTGAATAAGTAATGGAACTTTGTAATATTTTATTAGTTATTGTACTTAATCTTTAATATATCATCATATAAATTAACAAAAATTAAGTAAGCAGTTGTTTTAAGTACCACAACAATTAATCCTTTCCTTATTCATATATATATTCCATCATCTAAAATATTATTTCGAATTATGGACAGATGAACAGTCATTCCCTATGATCATAATTATTAGAATTAACTGAGAAATTATTTACATAATCATTATTACATAATTATCTGACAAACTAACCCTTTAGCTAGTGTTCGAATGAAATGAATCGAAAGTTTTGAACACTTACAACGTTCAAATTTTTTTAAAAATAATCCAAAGATGTTATAAACAATAACAATCTACAATTTAGTGTTAACTTACTGTTGGGTCGGCTTCCGGAGAACTTCAACGGAGCCTCCAGAGGCCCAAAAAGGAGCCGAAGGACCCTAGCCAATCAGAGTATGATGGAACGTTTGAGAATTCCAGTGTGGCGTGCTACCATTGGTCGGTAGCATAATATGACGTTAACGGATTGACTGAAATATGATGTTGATTTAACAGACGCCAACATCTATAAATACCCTTGATTTTCTGCACTAAAATGAACCTTGGGATAAAGTGTTTTCTCTCATACTTGTGTCTTCTCTCTGGAGTTTAAGTCGCTGTGTAGTTCTAGTCTGCGGGTTACCGGAATAGTTTAGGAATTGTATATAGCGTTCAACCTACACGACTTATCACTTACATTTGCTATGGAATTAATCACATTCCAGTGATAAACTATGAACTGTGAATGGAACAAGTTCAAGTTAATATTGATTATGCTAACGAATGGTAAAACTGAATTCGAAAAAATCTCTGTCATTAATATTCAATCTCATAATAATAAAGGTAATAATTAAAAACAATGAGCTGAAATCCTTAGAGGAGTCAATCTCTGTCTGGTTTTGAAATTTCATTCATAGCGATATGCATAGAAAGTATTGGATAAACTACATAGATAAAACAAATAGTTTAATTTTGTCTACTTATCCAAATTTATTGATCATTGCTATGATAATTATTCCAATTACAGCAATAATTTTTTTATACCAAAGAAGAAGACATAATTACAATTAAGACATTGACAATCATAACAGAAAATTTAATAGCAAGATTCGAGGAGAGTGAAATATGTATGTATGTATGTGTGCACAAACTATTGAAACGCACATAAAGGAAAACAACTATTGTGAAGTAGAGAAACATTCATCCTGGGATATAAAACAGTTAAAAAGAAAGAAAAAGACTGAAAAGGCAAACAAGAAAGATTCTTTACATAAATGGCCTACAATTTATATGTATAACACCGCACTAATTGTTTTCCTCTCGTTTACTTCTCAAATCTAAAGTGTGCTTACAGTAAATAATTTTTTTCAAACTAATTACTTTGGAATTAATTGATAATTAAATAACCAATCTCTTAAGTTTATACAGTTTTCTTTATTGTATAGCTTCAGGTGAATCTACACGTATTGCTGATATTTAAAAACTATTTACCTTTCTATCCAAAGTCTTATTTTTCTCCACAGTAAGGAGTATTCCTTTCTCTCTCTCTTTCCCTCTTTCTATTTATGTATGTCCCTAAAGCTGTGGAACTATTTATACTTCTATTCTCTTATTGATACACTTACACGTTAATTGCAACTAATGTTCTCTTCTTTTCGTCAACTGTTTTTTTTCTTTTATTAAATTAAATCATTATATTAGGCAATGCAATTAGCACTGCAATTTAATAAAGTGTCGATCGTCTAGGTTTTCTTTTCTTTCCTTTTTAATTATTTTCTAATTATAAATTGGGACAGAGTATCCACTCACTTATCAACACACATATATGGACATGGACAGTGAACTGAAAGATAGACAAAATTTTTTTTTTAAATGGCAAAAATTGCTGAGTTATATAAAGTCAAAATATAAGTAAAGAATAAAGATAAAATTGAATAAGAAGCTCAGGACAAGATAGAAAAGTAAATTAGTTAGAAAAGGCTGAAATTCGAAAGAAAAAAAGAAAGAAAAAAAGAAAGAAAAAAAAATTTAACAATTTTGAAAATATTTAGGCCAATGTCTGTGTCAAAGTTCATATTGGTTATTTTCAACTAAATAAAATGAAAACATCTAAAGAAATTCATTTTAAGGACTAATGTATATTAAATTCTTCTAAAATGATGAAATAATTATAAAAAGAGAAATCCTGAAGTAATAAAAAAATATTTGCAAACATGTTACATCTTATTTAATACGAAATATATAATAGTTAGTAATAATCTTCAAGAGATCTGAAACCTCAAGGATCAATTAACTAATATTTCGAGTCTGAAAAATTCCCATTCTACAATTATGTGAATGAAAAATATTCATTTCAATAAGTTCTCATCAGGTTCTACAATTATAAATTCAAATTAATAATCCTGAAATTGAAGTAGACATTTATGCTGATGATGTCATTCAGAAGAATGATGAAAGCTCCATGGCTAAACTATCCATTTCAGAGAACAAAATCCCATCAAAGTCATCCACCTGAGCTACAAATCTTCTCTATCATTTTAAATGATGTACTCTGCCTTGAAACTGGCCAATTTTATAGATTATTAATTTAGATTTATAATTGTAGGGTACCTGATGTGAAATTATTGAAAAGAATATTCTTTGTTCATATAATTGTGTTTTAATATTTAAAGGTAGAATTCATTAACAACACTTGATAAACAACATGTTATAATAAATATTAACTCAAATTGAAAAAAAGATATATGAATGAATTGATTTTGACATAGTGGTATCAATGTTGATCATATTAAAATTTAATATACTAAGTTCGATTTCATATAGAGTGTTTAAATAATTTTCCAGTATGTGGTTGAGGAAATTAGTCATGCAGTATCATGAATTAGTTAAAATTAGACAATAATATTATTGGATTTAAGCTCAATGGTTTATAGGTTAAATGGTTGTACAATACCGAAGGTCATAGTTTTGAGTCCCCCCTGTGAGGGATAGTGAATACTTACTTTTGAAGGCGTTCAATGCTTCTAAATTTTCATTGGTAGTTTAACATTGATCAGTTCATGATTTCACTATGGAAAACCTGGAAGCACTGGACAGCCGTTTTGAATTGAATATTTGTTAACTAAACTTTTATTATCCTTAGAAGTATTATGGTAGATATCTAATTTGAGATTTATCTTACATTTAATAAGCACATATTTTATACTATTAGATTGAAAACCAATGAGTGATAATCATAATTATAGTTATATTTTTTATTTTGTTTCTACACGAAATCCTAGGCTTTCATTTAATCTATAACTAGATATTCATCAAACAGTTATTGAGCATTGTAACTTGGTTTTATATTAATCAAGACAAAATATTGATAGCTGTCTATTTAATTCTCAACCATCAACATATATTCATTCAAATATTTATTTTTTAAAACTCTTCATTTATCGTTTTATTGTGTACTCATGTTATGTAATAGTTGAGACAAATGTAAAGTAACTTAACATTTTAAATGACTAAATACAAATACTTGGTTACTCGCTATTACAAATTACAAACAACAAAATAATCTGGGGCTGTAAACAAGTTGAATCATCGAAATGTGTTATTTTTGATTAATTGAGTTCTTCACGAGGCTAAATATTATATATAAGCGATATTCCATGTTATAACAAGGATATATATATATATATATATATATATATATATATATATGTCATGAGATGTATGAGTGAAAACCTGTAGATTATCAGTTTTCGTGTAACGTTTATTTGCTCATAGAGTAAGTATACTTGTGTGCATGCCAAAGAATGAATGGGTTAAAACTTATGTGTTACCGGTATGCATGTAGACTCTACTTACTACGTCCATGTAGTGGGTTCTTGAGCCTCAGAAAGATGATTTTAATCTAAGTCTATGGACTTTACCGAGTGGAGCTTCATCAACCTAAAAAAACTGTACCATATATATAGATCTATTTAAATTAAATGAAATTGAATTGACAATAATATTTAAAAAAAGAAGTTAAATTCATTATTTCATTTCCGATCAACTTACCAATCATTTCATATTGTTGATCAGTTTTATTATTTGAATCTTGTTCATAAGATAAATCAATTATTTTCATCTTATCATATATTAATTCATTATTACAATGATTTTCTTCATTCTCTTTCATATTATTCATTGTATTCTTTATATTATAATTAGACATTTGTCTTGAATTTATTAATTCAATATCATTAATAATAGAATTATTGATTAGTGTATTATATTCATTAGAATTCATTGATTGTTTATTTATTGATTCATTAATAATTGGTATTAAGATTTTAATAATTATTGTTGGTAATTCTTCAATATTCCCTTCAATATCATTTAATTGCCAATGTATATCAAATATTTCATTTGAATAATAATTAGAATCATTAATTTGATTATATTGGGATACATTTTCATGGTCTGTAAATAATTGCTGTAATAATAAAAATAAAAAAAATAGTTTTTGTTCTTTATTTTAATCATTAGTATTATATAATTAAGATGACCATTTTTGAATAAGAATAACTTTGTTTAGAAGAAGATTGTAATTGGTTTCAAGTGAAAATAATCTTTGCAAACAAATCATTTTATCATACTCTACAATTGTTACATAGTAACAGAAGGGGTTTTGTGGAGATCGTAGTAATTTCAACAGTTGAGATCATGAGTCAGTTGAGGCTAGACCACCATGGAAAACCTGGAAGAACTGGACGGTTGTTTAGTCCTATTGTGGGACGTCTCAGCAGTGCGCATCCACGACCCCACCTCGCGAGATTCGAACCCAGGACCTATCAGCCGTACAGTGCTTTCAGGTTTTCCATGGTTGTCTAGCTTCAACTGACTCATGATCTCAATGGTTGCAATTACTACAATCTTCACAAAACCCTTCTGATACTAATTAACATATGCTCACAAGTGACTGGCTTTAAGAGGTATATCCTGGAGTTCTAGTTAGAAGCTGTAACCAGTGAAGTCCAACCGGGTCAGTTGTGAGATAGTAATTCACTGATGACAATGATGGATGTGTCGCTCAATTTCGTCGATTAGTTGAAGTTAAACATTAACACTGATGGATGCCGGTTCAGTGGTCTAGTTGGTTAAGCGCCTGGCGCGAGACTGATAGGTCCTGCGTTCGAATCTCGCGAGGTGGGGTCGTGGATGCGCACTGCTGAGGCGTCCCACAATAGGACGAAACGGCCGTCTAGTGCTTACAGATTTTTCATGGTGATCTAGCTTCAACTGACTCATGATCTCAACTGTTGATGTTACACAGTATACCAACTTTATATTTCTCAGGATTAAACTATTCATTTAAATGAATTATATGGTTCTTGAAAGGATTGGGCAAGTAGGTAACGGTACATTTCTTTGAATATCTCACTCTTACAGATTCATTTTAGACAGCTCATTTGTACGATGTTAAATTCACTGAAGAGTATCAATTCCCTTAGGATTATAGATATGCCTTGCTGAGAAATACCAAATAGCACAAAAAACAGAGTCTAGAATTTTATGGTGAATATCTTCAACCAGTTAAAATTAATTGCTAATCTGACGAGGCAATGTCATAGGCCACTTAATACTTAGCATCATATTAAAAAGAATGAGTTACTTTTAAATGTTATTTAACCTTTTGAATTTCTAACAGACTTAAGTGATATTGAGTTTTGTCTTCAAATTATACAACTAGTTTTACGAATGGTTATTAATTGAACATTAGGAAATAGTTTCACAATACTGAACTCCATGGGTGTGTGAGTTTGCGGTAACTGTGATAACATTTAAGATCTTCCGTGTTATCATTATTTTATGTTCAAAAATCTATTTCACTGCGTAGCGTCTATAAGTTAGAAAGATTGATAACATCAAGAATCATCGTCGCAAGAGTAAATTATGTAATATTTCAATGATAACGTCTCACATTACGACACTAGTTCAAATCATTGGAGAAGTAATTTTTCCATATTGTTGGTGGATGATAGTATAAATCTTGGATTAACAGTTTTTTCCCAACTAACAATTGGGATTACAATACCGAATGACGTGAGACTGAGGCAGTGTTAATCTCTTTGATGTTATGAATGGGAAATGATAGAATTTGTTATCATTTTACAAACCACAGATTTACGAATTTAATTTAAATATTTTTCTGTTAAATGAATTTAATAGTGAAAACCTTATTATTTCACTTACAAACCATTTTACAAAATTTAAATGCGACATTTGGACAACATTATTTTATATAATCAAAAGTAGTTATTATTGAAGTAGTTTTATTCTTCGAGTATTTGTACAAAGCAGTATAGTGTGTAGTAATATAAAACAATCCATATACGATATGTAAGTGATTGTTATCTTACAATCACTTATTGTATATGTGGTCGGTCCAATAAATGCGCACAATGAAGTACAATAATTTTTTGGTTAAACTTGAGCTAAACTCTTAAGAAATCCATAAAATTTTAAGAGGTTCCTAAAAACAACTCGTTAAAGAAAATTACTCTTTTCAAGTGGATCAATGAACAGCTTGAAGATTACATGGATGGTTTACGACTGTTGACTTCCAGCGCTTTACAAACTCAGATTTACACTCAAGATAGTTGATGACTGATTCAATTCGAGAAAATTATCTGTGCACTCAGATACTATATATATATATATATATATATATATATATATATATATATATATATATATATATATATATATATAACATGGTGTAAATCAAAAATCGATGTTTTTGAAATCTTAGAGTGCATGGATTCTGTTAGCTTTACACATACATCTTCTTGACAGAGTTTTCCACTGATTACTTCTAACCATTTCATGTTAAATAGAATATAAAAACTATTTTATTAATCAGTAATATCGTGTGATAATTTACATGTTCACAGATCCATCATCATCATCATCATCATCACACAACTAAACATTTTACTTTTAACATTTATATTTATTTCAAAAGTTTTCTAAAATAAATATTTTTTTTAACGACTCTATTTATTAGATAAATACTAAAATTATTATTATTTTAATTCTTTCTTTTCTTTTTTCTTTCTCCATAGAAATTAATGTAAACATTTTCCGAGGTTAAGTCAACAATCAATACACATGTATACAACTATTGAATGATTTTCATTTATAATTATGGATAAGTTTACTTTTCAAAAACTATTCTATAAAAGATAAAAAAGATTAAGATAATTTATAGGTTGCTTACTATTTGTTATCCAATTCGAAATGATCAAATCATAGGATTATTATCATTACTGTTATCTATATATATAGCTGAATTAACTAGTAATTTTTATGTGTTTATTGAACGGTAGTAAATATATGTAAATATAAATATAGAAATGGTGGTTTGAAAAAATTTCACTAAGAAACAATGAGCGAACACTATGGTTATTATATTATAACTAATCAATTTAAGGGGATCTAAGTGATTTCCAATTTTGTCAAACTAGTGAATAACAAAAGGATGGATAGTAGTTAGCTGTGGAATCCTGGATGAGCGTTTCGTTCAGCTGACGAGTCCCAAATAGGACGAAATGTGCGTCCTGGATTCCATTGCTAGCCACTATTCATCTTTGTCAATAGAGCTTGTGGTCCAAGGCAGTCTGCATGAGACTAATCAATTGCAGTCCTAAATAACAATGGGAAGATACAAGTAAACGGCATCAAGTGAATAATGTTCCTTTTGTTGACTGAACTATCGATTGTAAATTTACTCGGTTTAATTTGATTTATTCAGAATATAATCAATTAGTTTTTCAGTAGATATTTAAGAAGCTGTTGTTATTATCAGATTTCTGGAAATTGCTGGATCCGCAGTTTTATATTACGGAATGACTTTGTTCGACGACAAAAAAAGGCACTGGACAGTTCTTTAGTCCTAGTATGAAGCTCATCAGCAGCGGGGATCTGTGACCCTATCAGGGACAAAATTTAGAACCATCGGGACACACTGCGAAGGCTTTGCATCAAAATAACTGAGTGGGTATCTGATGACTGTCCAGTTGAAGCTAGTACGCGATATAAAACTACCAATAACTTTATTTAAAATGCGAGGTAAAGAACATCTGTAATAATAGTGGACGAAATACAGCACATATGGACTAAGAAATGGAGTCAGGGATAAGAATTTAATGTACATAATAAGAACGATATCATTTGCCAATGTTATTCATCGAACGATCGTCATATGTGAAAAAAATTTTTTGTTTTACACAGGATCTAAAATTTATTCAATTAATGGATAATTGGAAAAATTTATCACCCAAGTTTCTATTTTTAGTTCCGGTATGGTTCATAGATGAGTTTATTTATGTGTATCAGAAAGTTCACGAACTTTCACTTGACTGAAGTTTGTGAAATATCTTGTGTATTATATCGTCCAAGTTGATTCCATTGACAATATTCTGAACTGTTTGCTTGTGCATGATTGAAGAACCAATGAAATTACTGCTTAAACACTGAAAGTCGTATTACATAATTCTTGTTTAAATATTTTCCTATTTCAATGTTTACTAATTTAAAATTTTATTAAGTGAATGAGGGGTTAAAATTGATATTGTAAAAGTAGTTATGGAAAGGATTTTTTTATTCGTTGGGGTTCACATTATCCTGTAGTCGTTATTCTGAATTAAATACTGATCAGCCTTCGCTTGTATATTCCTATATTTAGTGAATACCTCATTGTAGCACATTTGTGAGAACATTAACACTGAGATTCAAGTTCTTTCAGCTGGCAAGTTCAAATTTGGATGAAAAATGATTCGTAAATTACTTGGTTAACCATTATCTAAATATATTATTATACCATTACTTGTATTCGACAATTATGCAGTAAATTATACTCAAAACTCATTCTAAGTTATGTTGACAAGAGTATAAGATCTCTCGATGTTTAAAATCCATCTAAGTTACTAATGTAAGGTTAAAAGATTACTCGCAATAGCTAGGAGTATCAAAAAAGCTCAGACGATAAGTAGGAATAACATCGGTTATGAATTATCAACTCGAAACCGAAAGAGATGCAACTGTTCTATGATACCTGAAATTAGTCATTATTTAACCGTTTTGTTAACATTTTAATAGACCAAGTTTGAGTTCGTTTATATTAAAATATGATTAAATTTTTTATGAACACATGACTATTACTCAGTAGAATAGTTGAGACTTTTAGGATATAGGAATTCTAAAGACAGGTATTACAGTGGAAATTATTTTGCAAAAACAATTCAAAGTAGAGCTTATAACAAGCTTTTATGACTTGTCAGTTATAGTTACTAAAAAATAAGAATGCTAATTCTCTCTATCATGTGTGGTCAGTTTATACTAATTGCTTTACGTGTAGTGTACTATAATATCCAGACAATTTGTACATAGTTGAATGTGTTACATGCATAGTTCAAACTAGCTACTATTAATTAGTCAATGAAGACGTGGCAGTTTGCAATTTACAAGTGCTGATCATTTGGACAAAGAATTTTTAATCGGCATTTATAGTTCTAAAAATAAACAAATATTTACATCAAGTGTCTAGGACCGAGTAATGGGTATTTTTCATTATTTCAGTGACTAATGTGTAATAAATTTCGCTCTCACAGAATTTTGAATTTCGTAGTCGGTCGACATATTTTCGAACCAAAGCTAATAATTTACTTATTATTGTTTGGCTTGTATCTTCCCATTGAGGTTTAAGACTGCAATTGATCAGTCTGTTATTGGTATATGTGCATACTGTGCGTATGCCTCGATATTGCCTTAATTCACAAGCTTTTTGTAAGCAATGATGGATAGTGGCTAACAGTGGAATCCAGGACGCGCGTTTCGTTCTGTTTGGGACTCGTCAGCTGGATGTACCTGCATCTCAGAGTTGATGTTCACTCTGGGACTCGAACCCAGCTAATAATTTTCATAGTTTAATATCTATATTTTCCCACGGAATAACTCTGACTAACGAAGCTTGATGTGCAAAGGCGACAGAGATGCTATGAAAAGTGTCGTCACTTAGAGATGCTACTAGAGACCACTAAGCATTGAACAGTTATTTTTGATTCTCATTTAAGACTTTTCTGTATTGCATCCCCACAATCACACGTGAGGATGAATCTAGAGCCCTTATAGATCATCACGATAATGATGTTTAGAATAGGGTATAACAACTCTCTAGGGTTCCATATCATTTAGAAGTTCTTGATCTGAAATTAGTCCATAACGAAAGCTGAACTTAACGTGAGCAAATATCAACAAAATACCCATTTAAATATTGCAAACGTTAACTCATGTGCAACATGATGATACAGAAATCAGAGTTTTACCAAACTAATGATGTTACATGTTATTGGAAGTAGATAAATCTCACTTCACAGAAACTGGTCTAAGATATTTTGATATGAGTCCTTGGGATTCGTTCTCATTCATTTTTCATTGTTTTCGTTTTGTGCTAAATAGCATCAAACAGAATAGAACCAGATTCTGAACTGTTGAAAGCATTTGGAGGAGATTTACGTAATCACAATTTATGCCAGTTTATATCATGCAATATACTGACGAACTTAATGATGAAGAAATTCTAATCTAGAAATATTTTGTAGATTATCCTGAATTACCTTTGAGTTTTGCAAAGATGTCAACGTTCTGATTTACTGTAAGTACTTAGATTTGTATTTAGAATAATAACCCGTAGGTTTGAATGTTTTATTCGATAGGGTTTTAATTAGTCCTATACTAATATGTGTCAATGAATTAAATGAGCTAAAAATTTCTTGAATGATTTAATAAACATTTGAATACTTTAGGATTTATTTTTGATCCATTTTACCACATTTATATTATTATTACTACTACCAATATGGATATAATCATTTTTTTAGACTTCTTAAAGCCACGTTTGTAAGAATCTGTATTGTTACCAGTTCCCAACGGTTAAATGTCGTCAAATGGTCACTGTTTGAGTATCATGAATTTGTAATCATTTATTAGTCTTGGTTCAAAGGATATCTTCACGTAAGAAAGAATAATATGTCGATATTTCTATATTTTTAGCTACTGTATATTCATTTATGTGTTTATCTACTAATATGCATGTTTTCATATATTGACATGATTTACTCTACATATGAATGATATTTGACATTAATAAAATGATATGATCAAGTTCCAAAGCTAAATATACTTTAAAAAAAAATACAATTTGAAGTCTTTATTAAAGTGAACATCAAATCAACTAATACTAATTCATACAAAAGTTTCTGAGACTATCATTTTATGGTACAACAGTAGTTAAAATGGTATAAAACAATTTCCAAGTTAATTGTATTTTGAACACTCAAACGTTTTAGTCTAATATGCCTGGTGAAAATTCTGATTTCGACATTTGGTAAAAAAGGAACGAATCGAGTGGAGAAATTTCTTTTCAATTAGTTTTTCATCATGGCTCTACACTAACAAAACATGTATGATTTAAAATAATGATATAATACTCATTGAGTAGTTTTGTTATGCAATAATTATATAATGACGTGTTGATTATTAAATAACATTGAGTAATTGGAAGAAAGGGGATTACAATAATCAAGGTAATTATTTAAAAATCAAGCATTTGGTACGTTGCGAAATATATAAGAAAAAGGAACTAATAAAGTATTTTGATGAGAGGTGAGTATTATAGTAGTTATATAAGAATCAAGGGATGAATGTTGAAAATAGGTAAAATACAAAAAATAGAAGAAAACAGATATTAGTTCAAATATTTCTGAAGAAGAAGGTTTCATCAAAATTCTGCCACAAACTCAATTCTATACCGATGGTCAAGGTAGAGAGAATACTTGTACAAACCTATTTTGGATGCATAGATTTGGCTTTTGAACATGGATTCCAATGGCTTCAACAGTGTGCGAAATTGGAACTCGTATACTAAGGGGCAAATTTGATGGAATATGGTGGATAACCTTAAAAGCTTTATGCAGTTTTCCTTCATGGCCTGTGTCTATCAAGTGGGTGAGAATAGAACTCTTAATCACTCTTAGCTGTTCTTTGCTCAACCAAGACGGATGGTATTCTGTTGTGCGATGGTGGATTTGCCTAATTGTACACCCTATGTAACGCGCTCCACAGGAGCAGTTGAATTGGTAAGTACATGAGGATGTGGTGAATTCAGGCAATCTACCTTTATTAACGGTTCTTATTGTGTTTGTGTGTGTATGTGTGTGTGTGTGTAGAAAACGACATTCAGTCTGGCTGCATTAAATGTTTTCTGTACCTCCTTTCTTAACCTGTGAGTTACAATTTCCTTGACAGCACGATTTGGGAATTGTAATTTTGAGAACAGAACTTTCATCGGAACGATAGGTACCTTGGTTATTATTTTCATCTCTTTTTAGTGTTTGTTGATAAATTTCGTTGGGTATCCATTCCTACAAAGTAGGTTACGAATATTAATCAGTTCATCTACAATGGTGTCATCCAAGTAAATCATCCTAGAAGGATTAGTTAGGACCTTTACGAAGTCCGGAATATATATATGTATATATATCTGGGAATTTGAGGCAGATATTAGAAGGATGAATGGCACTTGAAAATAACTGGAAAGGAGAGCCCATAACAAATTTGACTGAGAACCATGATCGGCGTTCTATGCTCCACGTAAGGCAGCATGTATAGGTAGCCAACTAATTAGTTAAGAAGATAGGCATGTAGGTCAGCAAGTAAGTATACATGTATGTATGTGCGCATGAATGATAACTGGTGACTGAACGTGTTGGCAAAGGAAGTGGTCTTCTGGCAATTGTTTGACGCTAACTTAGGTATATGAATATGGTGTCTGATGGTTTAGACAATATTCTACAGTATACTTGATTATCATATAAGGAAATGGAAATAACTCAAAGAATCATCTCGAATAAAATGTATCTTATAAAATACACAAGTAACTGATAAAACATATTTAAAGAGAGAATAATCACTAAGTTACAACAAGAACTGATAATGATTAAACTTTCTATAATATTTAACATACTTGTTTGGCGATTGATCTTTGGTGTTCAGTAACATGCCAATGATTTAATGCACTTGTTAGTGACTTAAAACGAGTGATAGATTGTTGAGATGATTTGTCAGATGACATTAAATTAATATTGGGACTACTAGATGAAGGGGATGAACAATTTGTCAATGATGGTATGAACGGTAAATAATTTTTATGACATACATAAACAACTTGTAAGTTTGTAAGGATTGACGATAATTGTAATAAAATCTTATTGAGCTTTGTTTGATATTTCAAATTATTCATACTGTTTAGGGAAGAGTCTGTATGTGTATTATTGGTCTCGTCAGCATTATCATTTTCATCTATAAGAGACTTCAAAAAATCAACATAGAACAAACTTAAAGAAGCTAAGGTATTCCATAGATAATTGCGTCGATTGACTAAATGTGTAAATATCTTCACAGCTCCAATGTGACTAAGTGTTTGACAATGTAATCGGAATTTATGCACTGAAGTTGTAAATAAATCACAGGCTATACAGTACAACTGTATTGATGATGTTAAATTGAAATTGTTTTTGACATTATTGCAATTACTGCTATTGTTACCTACATTACTACTGTTATTATTATGAGTAGTAAGATTAGTCGTTATATTCAATGATGATATATTATAATTCGGTCCTTTTGTAATTGAACATTGTATATTATTGCTGTTACTGACATCTAATATTTTATTTTCACAAATATTTAAAGTTGACAGAATGCGTGACTGGTTCCATAAACCACCTTCGCAAACATGTACAAGAAAACTTAATCTTTGCGCATGTTTTTCTGTTTTACAATGTAATTGGAAATTAGCTTTTAAAGGACTTTTATAAGAGCATAGTTTACAGAACCAAAAACCATTTGTATGTAAAGTTATTAAATTCGTAACATAGTCTAAATCAAACGGTACACGATTCCGTTCGACATGTTCAATCAAGACATCTAAATTATCCGTTGTAAATGTACAACATACTTGGCATGCTAATGGATGATTTGCTGTTTCAGTAAGATTACATAGTAGATTATCATGAGATGATGTTAGAGGTATGAATGTTTTCAATGGATGATCATAACAAAAAGAGGACGAATCAATAACAGAAGATGAATATGAAGAATAGCTAGGTTGATGCATTCTATCTTCACCATTCGTTAAACCTAGTTCATGAAAATTTGTAATGGCTTTATTTATATTTATATTATCTATGACTTTTTCATTCTCATTTTTTTGCTGAAGAAATTCAACAGTTTTTTGATTTAGTTTCATATTTTGTTGCAACGATGATACTGTTCGTCTTTCAGACAATGATTGTGCAGTTAAAATGTTCAAATCACATGATGAATTTGATTTTTTACTGGCTGAATTTAGATGGGCAAGATTTTGATGCAGATTATTTTGTTGATGGCGAGTGCAATCAGGACTTTCACTATGATTACTTCTTGTATCAGCTGTATTGAATATTGTTTGAGACATTGTTTGTTCGTGCTCCTACAATTGAAAATACAGCAAATAAAAAACTATAAACGAACGTTTAAAAAACATGTGCATACGATTGAAAATTTCCTAGTTATGATGTGTGAATAACGGAAAAATATACCTAGGAAATCGATAGAGTTTTTTTGAGATAGGTCTGAAATATTGTTAAAGCTACAAAGTAATAGACAACTACTATACCTCCAAAACATTCTATTATCATAACACAACGTGGCGACTACTGAATCGTAATATTGAGGTCATCATAAATAAATGGATAAACGTTAGTAATTGAGATCATGAGTCAATTGAAGTTAGACCACCATGGAGAACCTGAAAGCACTGAATGGTTATTTCGCCCCATCTTAGGACTCCTCATCAGTGCACATCCACGATCCCGCCTCGCAAGATTCGAATTCAGGACCTATCGGTTTCGCGCGCTAGCGTTTAGCCTCTAGATCACTGAGCCAGCATCCAACGGTGTTAATGTCTAACTTCAACTAATCCATAAAATTGAGCGACATACTGCTGAGGACGAAACGGCCTTCCAGTGCTCCCAGGTTTTCCATGTTGGTCTAGCTTCAATTGACTCATGATCTTAACTATTAAAATTACTATAATATCTACAAAAACCTCTTCTGAAATGAATAAACTTTGACGTCATAAAGTGAACTACACAAAACGAATGTAAAGAAATTTTATTTCATACTAAAGAAATCTTACCTGAAGATTATTTAGATGTTTATCCGATTGTTGATGTATCGCTAAATTTCCTTTTGTTGTAGTAGAATAATTACATATTTCACAACGATATGGTTTATAACCGCAAATATAAGTTTCACCTCGTCCTAATCTTGGATGTGCAGTTTTTGTAACACAATAAAGGCATGAATTAGTTGATACTCCGTTAGACTCTTTAGTTTGTGATTGTTGTTGTTTAAGCATAGTTAATGAAGATGAATACTTTAGTTGACCAGAGGAAGAATACGGATTTGAATGTTTGCTAAATGCTAATTTTGTAAATGTTTTATTCATAGATTATATAGTCGTGTTTCAATGTTTAAGATATTTATTTATTAAGACTAGTTCAGTAGAAATATACACTATGATTTCAATCAATTTCTGTTGATAAAAAAAAGAATAGAAAAATGTTTATTATAAAAATGAACAGTTGTGAGATAAGGAAATTAGTAATAAATGGAGTTCTAAGTACTGGTGACTCGATGTAAGGGAAATGATTAATTAGCTGTATCGATATGGAGTTACGGAGATTATTAAGTTTTTGATTGAGATCATGAACCGATTGATGTTAGACCACCATTGAAAGCCAAGATGCACTGGACGGTTTATCTCACGAGCCGGATGGCGTATGAGCACTGCTGAGGAGTCTTACAATAGGACGAAACGAACGTCCAGTGCTGTCAAGTTTTCAATGGTGTTCTAACATCAATCGGTTTATGATCACAATCAAAGATTAATTAGCAGCTTGGAGTTCTGAGACTTGACTTCTCAAGGATTATTTGTATATAACCTTTTTCCAGTTGAATATGAAGACCTTTAGATGTGTTGCAAATTTAATTTGTTAGCTTTGGATATTTTTAGTCTAGAAAGAGATCATTGTTATATGTTTAATATGAAGTTTACTGGAGTGATTTATATTGATTGTTAATCAATTTCAACATTTATTTCACTGGTTGGGGAACCACCAAACCTGACAAACATTCAATAACCATTTCTTTATAAAAGTTATCTCATCAAAAGTATATAACTACGAAAATATCTTTTTGGTTTTATGCCACCCATTATAAGATTCATGTAGATAATCAGAATACCTCAATTAATTCTCACTACAACAAGATTGTTATCACAATATTGGTAATATGTTACTACTTCATTACTGATTTGGTTATCTCTATAGATCTCAACTTTCTACGACATGACTTAGACTTTTGAATCAAAGCAAAGATTAATCTGTGTTTCAATACTTAGATAAATACCAACTTCCGATGAAAGCACCTAATTCAAAAAATACATTTACATTTATACATTATTTTCAAGTACCATTTTCATTCAATCCTATTTAATTATCAAGAAATAAATAATTTTTTTAATGACGTTTGAATAAAAAAATTTATTTCCAACTGAAGAAAACTTTTTTTTTAGAAATTTATGGTCACTTTTGACCACTTATAGATTTTGAATACAAAAAAGAGAGAAAAGTAAAGAAGAGAAAACCACAATGTAATTTGAAATAAATCAAATTAAAATGATCAATTCGTTTTGGTTGTTATTTCATGATGCCTTTCTTTTTTTATTTCTTTTTTCTCCCTTTTTTTCTTCTTTTTCTTCTTTACTGTTTTGTACCTATCACTAATATTTTTGAAAATAATTAAATATCCTATCTGCTGTATTATGATGATTTGAACAAGATGAAATCATATAATAAAATGTCTGGCTGAGAAAAGTGTTCTTTTTCTTTTTAAATGAGAAAGACAAGTATTCCCTCTGTGTATTTCTTCACTTATTTAATAACACTTAATAAATTAAAATATTCATTCATTTGAGACCAGATTTCATCTAGACAATAGATTGGTTAATTTTAGTAAAGCATATAAAAGATAAAGAATGTTACCACACTAAATAAAATTAATGATGCTTTTTTTTAATTAAAAAAAGGTTTTGAGTAGAGAACACAACTTAGATAAGAATTAATAATCATATGAAGTTGATTTTCGGTAATATTTTTAATTATGTCACTTAATTGAGATTAAGTGATAATTGACTAGTTTATAATGAGCTTATCTCTTTTATACATGAAAGGAAAAAGTGGATATTTAAAAAGGACTAATTCATTGAAATCAAATTTTGAAGATCAAATCAATTAGCCATATATTTCTTTTTTGTTTATTAAAAATAAAGTTCAACCGGGTCAGTTGTGAGATGACAATAGTGGATGTGTCGCTCACTTTCATGGATTAGTTGAAGGTAGACATTAACACCGGCTCAGTGGTCTAGAGGTTAGGAGTTCGAACGCGAGACTGATAGGTCCTGGGTTCGAATCTCGCGAGGTGGGATTGTGGATATGCACCGCTGAGGAGTCCCACAATGGGACGAAGCGGCTGTCTAGTGCTTCCAGGTTTTCCATGGTGGTTTAACTTCAAATGACTCATGATGTCAACTATTAAAATAAAATAGTTATGATGAACAATTTATGTGGATCATTTTAAATTCAGTTAAAAGGAGGAAAATTACAAACTATGGGCTGATATTTATTAAGTGGAACACTTTCAGTCATAGTATGTCGATTTTTAAAAAAAATATAAATATTCTACATATTTGATATAAAAAATTAAATTACTCAAATAATCTCCCAGTTCATATAGAAATCTTACTGCAATAAATGAGTTCGTGTACAAGAATTTCTTTATTGTGAATAATAATTGGTGATTTTCTGTGCTCAACAACAACAGAAAAAAAAACTGGGCTATAATGCAACTACGATTATTCTCTATAATAATAATAGTTAATTAAATGAAAATATTTAGTTTAGGCCATTTTGGAAAATTATATTTTAAAAATTATCTAAAATGAAGGGTAATCAGTAATTACTACTATTTTCAGATGATTAGTTTTAATTATTCAACCCAGATACTTGTTTCTTTGCATTATTGCCTACATTCCTTATGAACGTAATGTGGTCACTGAATTTTCATGTCAAACGTGTTATTATCAATGAATTAGTGACTTGAAACCATAATGATTATAACATGTTCTTCTCATATGGTGAATTATATGATTAAGGTATTTTCGTTTACGTTATATTGTTTGATAGGATCAATGTGTTGTTTTTATATTACTTAGTGGGAATGGACAGTCCATAGTGCGATAAACTCAGTACTAAAGTAAAATGTATCTCAAAATTTATTCAGCACTTTGTAGTCTCACTTAATCAAGTTATTTAAGAGAACTGAAAGATTTATGATAGCTAAAGAGAGTAGTTTCGCACTCTGCTGATCATGATTTTCACTAACACCACTTTTAAATCAGAAGGTTATGTGCCTAGGTAAATTTTTGCCTGAATTTAAATGAAAAGTTTAAGGAAGTAAAAATATCCGAACAATGCAGTTTAATTTTCAGTGTGAGGTTGTGGAGATTGTTGAATCTCATTGAGATTATTAGGCAGTTACCCACTGAAGAAAATGGAAGATGTTCACGCAATGTCGTGAACTGTTTTCGGCTCATTGGTCTACAGATTAAGCGTTCGCATTCAAGACGGAAGGTCTTGAGTTCGATTCTTACGTGCGAACTTATGGATACGCACTATAAAGGAGTTTAATACTAGAGTGAAATGGCCGCCCAGTGCTTCCAGATTTTCAAAAGTAGTCTAGCTAAGATTAATTCATGATTACAATGCAAAACACTTTCAGACATCCTAGAATAATATTGGTGAATAGTTAATCAAAGAAATTTGGAAATAGGTATACTGTTATTCAATTGATGGCATATATATAACCTCTAACAATGGCTACATATGTATTCATAGTATGACAAGTAAATAATCAAGCTGATATTTGCTCTTTCAGGAGTGTGTAACATTGGTATGTGATTCACAATAAAATGAAATTTAAGTTACCCTTTTATTCATGAATAACATTTGGACAAACTTACTTTATCTTAAACGCAATCATACAATATAAATCAATACTTTAAAAGTTTCTGTGAGAAAACTAGTCTCAAGTTAAATAATCAACAGGGTAAGTGATAAAATGCCAGTTTGATATAAAATTTGAAATATTAGATATTTTTCGGTTGTTTTATTTATTTATTCTTTATTTGAACACACAAATATTCGTACAAAGGGTCACTGAATACATATGCGCCATATAAATCAAATGATTTGTATATGGGCTTTGATACTACCCGGGTGCCCAGACCGAAGCAGATGGTTTTCTTAGAGGGCTACACCCGGAGCCTTTGACGTAAAGGTCTGATCCACAAGGCAGTGGAGCGATGTTGGGAGATGCAGTCTCATGGTAGCCGGTGACCAACGATTGGTTCATACGCCATTTGTTCCCTCAGGATCCTGGTGCCCATGTGCACCATTGGTTTGGAATCAGGGTTTTCCAACTCCCTAAGATGGATCCTCCATATCCACCAACCCAGCTAAGTCGCCGGATATTCGCTTTTTCTCCTCTTAATTTCGTAAACAACACCCTTGTCGCGGGAATGCAATGAGTAGGATTTCCCTGGAAGTGGCTGTATATGTATGACCATGTGAGAGCATTTCGGGGGGGGGGGAGAGCTAATTCTCCCCACCCTCGGCCGTACTAAGGCATTTGGGGGCTAAGTATGAATATTCAACCTAGTCTGCCGGTAACTTCACATACGGTGTTGTTTGAGGTAACACGCCATTGCGTGCACCAATTACTCACACCGACGTTTTCCGTAGTAGTAGTAGTAGTAGTAGTAGTAGTAGTAGTAGTAGTAGTAGTAGTAGTAGTAGTAGTAGTAGTAGTAGTAGTAGTAGTAGTAAGGTTAATCGATTATTTCATGTATCTGGTTTATCAAAAAGGGGTTAAGTGGAATGCAAAAATGAGATTTGCAATATGAAACAAATTTTTTGAGATTGTTGCATTTTAACAACATACAAGACAAAATGGGCAAATTTACAAGAGAAAAAGGTTATTATTATCAGTTTAACTCTTGAGATTAAGAACTAATCATTAACTTGTAATGATTTAGTTGGTAAACAAACATCATATCAACTAAAAAAACTAACGTAATTGAGACAGTACGGAGTTTAACACAAATTAAACGATGAGCTTTTAAGGTTTTTTGAAGGATAAATGGGTGAACAATATTTCTAGAATACTGTCGACAGTTTTATGGCTTAACATGATACAAGGCTACAAAAAGGGACATTAGTAGTTACACTGAGGTTGAATTTCAAATTGTGTATTGATAACAGCTTATTTGAACGGGAAAGTCCTACAACACTGACTGAAAGGAATGGGTTTGAACTGAGAAATTGGAGA